AACCTAAGGCAATATGGTCATCGCTCAGGTGGCGTTCAGGCTTTCCGTTGAAACCCCTATTCGAACACCTCACAGTCGCGATCACATGATCTTGCCAAGTGCCAACTGTGACGCTGTCAGTGACAAGGTTCAGACACCGTCAGCATGAATTTACGATTGAAATTCGACTTCCTTGACAGATCGTCCTGACCTGCTTCCCACCTCTTGCCCAGTATCGCAAAAATGCAGCTACACGATGCAAAGTGTGTAATCAGTATCAGACAACAACACATTACTGATGCTACTGGAGCTGATACGCGTATTGACAGCAGTTGTCGTCCGACTCGGAATCTCTGTCAGAATGATCATAATCCCCCACCTCTTCTCGACCCCGAACTCACTTCCGAAATGACTGGATCTCATCCCGGGTTACATAAGGACCCAAGATTCTGCAACATCGGTCGTGCTCGCAGGTCTGCTGAGAACGAGTGATCTTGTTCTTCGTTTCGTCATACCCGGGGTCACACAAGAAGTTGGTGTTCCCGTATGTTGCGCTGCGACTCCTAAGGTTGTAGCAACCGCTTATCATGATGCTCTCGAATGTAAGCCGCTCGCGTCTTCTGGGCTGAGTTATCTTCTGTTACTGAATATCAAGTGATTATTGTACCTTAGGTATCTTCGCAACTCCGGTTCGGTATTCTGGTATGAACCTTGGCAGCATCCTGGTCAACGATGTAAAGGGACAACTAGTCGATTGGGACCATGCGAAGGCTTTTGCACTAGCGCAAATATTGCCCATACCGTACGGTACGCTCAATATTGTGTACTCCACCATACTATGTTCGGCTTAACAGCGACTTTTCAGGGAAATTGGTGATTTTTGTCCATATATTGTCTCCAACGACTAACGAAACCTCATACTTCACAGGACAATGTTAAATCTACCTTCTGAGTCCTATTATATGTGTGCCTGCGATACATTCGCCATGACCTTCCGGGATTCAATCTGTCTTTCTTTGAGAACACCATCTGGTCGTCAACCCGAACAACAATCAGACTTCATACACCTACGTATTGGGAAGCTGAGATGATTCAATGTGAGGGCGGCGGCTGGAAAAAGGGTTGCTAAATCGACTGTAACTGTTTGACTTACTGTAGGAACACTCCACGAAGCAAAAACGAACACGTCCAGCGTGATGTACGATACCAGCAGGATTCGAACCTGCGCCCTCAAAGAGGAACAGATAACTTAGAAAATCTCTTACAACGAAGTCATCATTCTAATCTGTCGCCGTAACCACTTGGCTATGGTACCCTGTCACATGAAAATGCAATTGGCGACTGGAGCGAGAGGTACTATGTAGTTAACCTCATTACACAGTGACTTCTTCGCGGGTGTCGAATGGCTTCAAGAGGGTTACCATCAACTCCAAGATATAGTGGTCCCCTAGAAAGGCCAGGCGCAACGCCGCGGCTGCACCACGATCCTCACCGAGGTAAAACAACGAAGTGCTCGAGTTACGAACTGGGATGAGTTAGATGAGTGCTGATTGTCAACCCATGATGTTCAAAAAGCAACATACTTCGGATACGGGGAATCGAACCCCGAGCTACCGCGATGACTTTCGAGCCAAGTGACTCTCGAAGTGAGAGGCGGTAATGTTAGCCATTACACCATATCCGAGTTGATAGAAATCAGCAGAGGGTGACCTGATGCTACGTGCAATTATATGCCAATCGTTTGCGAAGACTCCCAGCCCTGGCACTGACCGGTGACCGGTGACCGGGTGCCAGAGAATATTGCGACCTGCCGCGTACATTGAATGCCCCAAAGTTCGAAGACGAAAATCAGTTACTGTCGCTTTTGTCAGCATCAGACCGGGCTCCAATGGCAGCCTCGCAACTATATTCAAATAAAATCAACAAACATACAGTATATCGTACACACCGCGGTCAAGGACTCGGATCGCAACAATTCACTTTGCATATCTCGCAGTGACAGCTGCCCCCTCGTCTCTTGTCAACATCTCCCTCAACGTCTCCTCCATTGTCTTCAGCTCCCTGCCAAGCAGGTTCTTGAGCAATGGATCAACTGTGGCACATTCGCCCCTGGCAAGAGCCTTGTACGTCGTCGACCAAGGTCGCAGCAAATCCTCGGATTGCTTGTGGATGTTTGCTTGGACGTATTCGTCTTCAGAGACGACTTTGAGGGTGATGTTGCGATTGCCTGGGAGAACTTTCGAGATGAGTTGGGCAAGTCCAGCAAGCGTGATTGGATTGTCTCCTGAGAGTAGAAGCGTTTGGTTCTCATAGCCAGATTCCTGAAGTACAGGCATATGAGCAATCTTTGTTCAAGTCCCTGACTAATGATTTTCTCAAAAGTAGACATACCGCTGCGATTATCTTCGCCGTTCCTTCGCCCAGGTCATCTCTATGTACCCAGGCGATCTTCCCGTCGCTGTACGGTACAACAACTTCATCCTTGCCCTCCTTCGGATCGAAGAATCCGAAATACAGCGGCCAGCTCTCGCTGTAGATACCCTCCCTAATGATGGTGTACGTCAAGCCGCTCTGTTTGAGATACCTCTCGGTATCAATGTGCGCCTGCATGACAGCCGCGACGCTATCCCCAGCGAACGCAAGGGATGTATAATAAATATGCTTGATACCACATGTCTTCGCGGCATCGATGGCTGCGATGTGGTTCTTCACACGAAGTTGGTGGGCGATGGAGGGGTAGGATACAAGGAAGAGTTTATCTCCACCTGCGAATGCGCTGAGTAGGGAAGAAGGATCGGAATAGTCTCCCCTGCGAATCTCGACACCTGAAGATTTGATTTCGTCCGATGCGCCTGAGGGGTTATGCAAGGAGACAATTATGTCGCTCGCTATGTCATTCGATGATTAGCTCTTCCCCAAAGCAATTCGCTATTGCGGGGACTTACCTGGTACAAGGCGTAACAAATTCCTAAAGACTCTGGAACCAAGGGCACCAGTCGCACCGGTAAGAACGTACTTGGTCATTTCTGGCTAATCTTCCTAAATAACGGCAGTTTGTGGCTTGCGGACGTTCGTGGGGTCTTGACCGGGACCTTCCACCTTATATAGTTCGGCTACTGTGGCTAAGAAACCCTGGAAGACTGAAGAATGTGTGGGTGCAAGTGCATCATAGCTTCGTCATCTCTGGGTCCGTTGATATGTTTAGCCCATAAGCTTCGAGTTACATGGATGGGGAGATATTACAAGTGACTTGCGAAAGAATCTCGCTCCGAGATCAATCTCCTGGTCTGAAGTTCTTGTGACCGTTGCAACCGTTAATGTAGCGGACTGGATTTGTATCTCCCTAATCCGGTAGTTTCCTGTTTCCCTTTGTTTGGTTCACCCAGTTTATTTTCTCTTGTTTATCGTTTTTCTCTTTTCTACATGACTCATTTTTCTTAAGGCCGAAGCGCCCTATCTTTTTCCCTATATAAGCCTGGTTGCTTCGTCCTGTACCCCAAGTTCGCCTTAGCGTAGAAAGCAGAGCTTTTCACTGTCTTTCCCCTTTGCGTGAGCTTCTGTGTGACGCGACCGTTACCTCCCCGTAACGCCATCGTCACAGTTAACCTCATAAGGTGCCAGTACTGTTTTGCTCGCCATGTTGAACTTTACGTTGGTCTTGCGCGGACGTTTTTTCGCGATTCTGCCTATTTATGATGTACAAAGATCGATGACGTCGTCTTCTCGCTGTAATTCGCGGAAATAGCCGGAGAGACCTTGCGATTCTCGTGTCCCAAGACGACGAACATTCTCCAAAGTTTTTCATCCTACATAAATAAATTTGGAAGGACAGAACGAGGGCAGAAGACAAACGAATCGCGAGAGAACGAACAAAAAGAACTCTAACCACGCGCATACGATGTGTTGGAGACTAACTACTTACACTTAGGCTACTTCAATAGTCTAAGCACCAAATTTTGCAAGACCAGTTCCTCGGCCTCGACAGGCGTTCAATCGACGAGAGCGGAAAGCGAAGAAGGGATGAAGATGGAGTAGACACAAAGAAACAAGGAAGCGGAGATTACAACCGCATGATCAGTTGCTTCACACCCGCCATCCATATCCCAATATCATCCGTGATTGAACCTCGAGTGAGAAGCTCGACATGGATCGCCATCGCAGTGTTCCGATCGCGTGCGGCCATAGCTACACGAACAATAAGTCAGCACAAGCTCAGAAAGGACAAAGGTGAAGAGGGGAGGAGGGGAGGAGGGGAAGGAACTCACCCTGAGCGAGAATGACCAACTGATCCTGAACGTACTTCGACAACGTCTCACAATTGAGAGCGTCAAAGAGAGGGTTAATTCGTCTTTCAAGGTCTTCGACGAGTCGTTTCTGATTAGGCTGCATATAAACCGTAAGTAAATACAACGATCAGAGAAAAGACGAAAAGAGACATACAGGAGCGACCTGCTTGAAGTGATTCAACTCTCCACTGATAACTTCATACACAGGTCGGAGGTGGTCAGGTATATGACTCCTATCTCCAGGAGCTACATAACATTCACAATCGTCAGCAACTCACATCCCTTCACGCCTCAAAGAACATAAAACTCACGATACTTCGGCGGCGGAGGTCCAGTCTTCGCAGGGGGCGCAGCCGCTCTCGCAGGCCCACCAGGAGGGGGAGGCGGTCCACCAGCACCAGGACCCGGAGGAGGCCCACCAGGACCTCTAGGACCAGGACCAACACCCGGTCCACCAGAGTTAGGAGAACCAGCATAAGGCGACTGCTGAGCTTGAGGAGGAGGTCCGTACGGTCCAGGCTGTTGCGATGGAGGAGGAGCGTTGGGAGCAAACGATCCTTGTTGTGGGTTAGGAACGTATGATCCTGGCCCGCCTTGAGGTGGGTAGGCCCCGCCCGATCCTTGCGCTTGAGGTGGAGGCACATAAGGCCCCGGCTGTTGATGATGTGGAGGGGGAGGCGTGCCACGAGCAAAGCTCGGCGAAGGAGTCAACCGCGCGTAAGGTCCACCTTGAGGAGGGGGAGGCGGTTGTTGACCACCGGGAGGTCCAGGAGGTCCCCTATGAGGCGGAGGAGGGAGAGGCTGAGTCTGCGGCGGGGACATCATCCTCGAAGGCAGAGGTTGCTGCTGTACGAATTGACTTCCAGGTCCAGGAGGGGGAGGAGGCCGTTGCTGAACACTTCCAGGTCTAGGCGGGGGAGGTAACTGCTGTTGTTGCTGTCCTCTGAACCCAGCACTCCCAATAGGCGGCGTAGCGGGACTGGGCCCAGGCGAACCCACCGCATTCGGGAACGGAGCAGTGATAGCAGCAGGTTTACCCGAAGCAGTGATATTCGGCGTACGCCTGTTCGCGATATTGGCAGGAGCATCGTTCCAACCCCCATTGTCACGTTTGGGCGGGGCAGCGTTACGTGGTGGAGGTCCGACAGGTGGTGGCGCACCTCCTGGCGTGGGACCACGAACGGGTGGTGGGACGCCATAAGGTCCAGTAGCAGGAGCAGGTTGGGGCGGTTGAGCGTAGTGGTTTGCGTATGGGCCTGCAGGACCTCCTGCAGGCACTGGAGGAGCATACGACGAAGGAACAGGGGGAGGGGCGTAAGGATTGTTCGAAGATGCCGCTGGGGCACCGTACCCAGGAGGCTGAGAGATCGGCGCAGGCTGCTGTTGCTGCTGCTGAGGAGCAGGAGCGTAGCTCGGGTACGCATATGCCGAAGTAGTCGACACAGCAGGTAACGCCTTCGCTTGAGCCTGAGCCAACGAAGCACCCCTAGCAGGAACATATCCCGAACCAGAAGGACGTGAAGAGGAAACACCAGCAGCAGCCAACAACCTCTCCCTACCCTCCTTGAAGTCCAGGTGACTTCCAGGCGACCCGGTGTAACCCGCAGGAGTCAACTTGAGATACTCCACAGCCTCCTTGAGCAACCCCTGAGTAGCCAACAAATCCGCATACTCAAAGTACCTGTCGTACAACCCGGAGAGCTTATACGTTTTCACAGGGATTTCCTCCCCATTCGCGTCTACCTGCGTCTTCAAATCCGTATCTTCATAGTTGATCGCCCGCCTGAAGATCGTCACTTTCTCGATGAAAGTCTGCAACGCGAGGGCATGGGCGGTATACCGCGACCCATCCAATCCTTGTCCGTTCGATCCAGACGAAGCAGCAGACAAGATGATCTTTTCCTCCTCCGCAAGCTCCTCAATCCAGATATTCACCAACCTCTCGAGTTTGCCAGCTGCGAGATAAGTCAACGTAGCGTTCTTCCTTAACTCTCTCGCCCTATCTTCAGCGCTTTCGTCTGAGGAAGCT